AAAAAAAAAAAAAAAAAAAAAAAAAAAAAAAAAAAAAAAGCCCTTTCAGAGTTGTCCTCCAAACTAGGGCAAGTTGCTTTCAACAGAAACAGCAACACAAATTCAGGCAAATGAACAGCCCACATCCTTAAGCTTCTCAAACAGTAGTAGCAAACTGCCAGCATGCAGCTCGAAGCACCAAAATCAGGCTTGGACAGCAACTCCCTAAAAAAGCACCAAAGCTTCAGTACTGACTTCCTCTCCCCAAGCTAGCCACCCTTATCTTGGACACTGGTTTAACTGTTTGAAGCTAAACAGCCTATCACCACCATCACCTTAAAGAAAGTCTCATACAAATGGCAAAAAAAGGAAAAAAGACAAATCAAAACACTAACATCACCTTCACAACTTAAGAATAAAAGCATTCAGCAGACAGTCAGTGACATTTTTAGAACAGGATCTGGACCTGACACCTAAGAGGAAGCGAGTGGTCTGCACAGACAGGCACTGAAGTCTTTCTGCTCTCAAGTCCACACAGTGAATTCTGAGCTCAGAAAAAGAGGGCTTAGAGCTTAATTTTGTTCCAGGAAGAAAATATCCTTAGACAAAGAGTTACCAACCTTTCAGAAGGTCACAGAGATGCTGACCACAGACACATACAAGTTGCACCTACAAGCACATCAGCCTTCGCTCTCCGGCCCTCAGCTCAGCACATAAAGCTACATCAGCAGAAGTAATCAGGAAATGCTGTACAATCATCACAGAACACTTAAGCACACCCCGCCAGATCTCAGGAGGCCCACAGACACATCCAGAACTGCTGTTCTGAACAGGATGTAAACCCAGCAGAGGGAATCTGCCTGCTTTCCTAATGACTTCCCTTTCTTTCCCTGAAACAGGAGCCATTTCTGCAGGACACCGCAGACACAGCAAAACCCAGCACTGCCTCTACAAAACATTGCTGCGCAATTTCTAAAGGAAACCCAAAATATGATTTTTGTCTGATAATGAGACTGTGAAACACAGACCAGGCATTTAACCCACTTACAGCACTGTTCTGTGTGAGGACAACACACTCTGTTATTCAACTAGCTCTAACAAGCAGAGGTAATCTTACACAACCCCTGTGGCACATGCCTTTTTTTTTTTTTTAATTAAACACCCACTTTAAACAATGGAGCACCATTTCAGGTGCAATATCCTCATCAGGTGTCTCTCATTAGATCTGTGTAACAAGAGTTGCTGTCTTTGCAAGTTCTTACCCTGCGGCCCATCTCTATTGCCATTCAGCACACAAGATAGGAAAGAACAGCACAGAAACACAACCTGAACATTCTCACTGTTAAGGCAGTTACGCGTTGCTCAGTATCTCAACCACCAACTTCCTTTTACACAAAGACAAGTTGCATCTTTTCACAGGAAGTCACCAGCTTGAACATTCCACAGTGTCTAAGCTGATACTGAGACTGATCAGCACAGGTGACCAGCTGCCAGTTGCTAATGCAATTACTTGGAGCTGCATTTATACTCTGAACTGTGACACAGTAATTTCACAATCGCTTGTCCATGACCTCATATGAATGCACTGAAGACAGTGTTTTGATATGGGGGTTTTATTTCTTGTTGTAAATGAAATCCTACATCAGATATAGTAGCAGAAAAATCTATCAGAAATTTGTTCTTGAACTATGAAAGCAGAGTCTGAAAATAAAAAAACATTGGATCTACTCACACAGCCTCAACAAATGCAGAGGGATCAAGAACAGACTTTACTATTATGCTCAAAGGGCTGTGATTTGCAGCACAGAGTCCAGTAGGACAGCCACTACCAGAGAATCCCAGGTGCTGATACCTTGGGACAACACTACACAACATTTTTATTGATGATGGGGATGGTGAGGCAACGCACTCTCCTCAGCAGGTCTGCAGACAGTGTAAACCTGGAAGGAGGGAGCAGCTGATGCACAAGAAGGTTGTACTGCCAAGCCAGAAGGACCCCGATAGGCTGCAGAGAATTGAGCCAATAAAAGTCTCACACAGTCAACATGGGGAAGCACAGAGTACTGCACTGAATAATAAAGCCGTGCCCCCATCCAGGCTGAAGACAAAACTGGCTGGAAAGTAGCCTAGATGGAAAGGAGTTTGCGGTCCTCACAAATGACAAACTGACCATAAGCCATCATTAACAGCCTCCTGGACAGAATTAAGAGCTCTGCCAGCAGGCTGATGGTGACAATTTTTCTTCCACTTGACTAAGCACTGGTGTAACACATCTGGAGTGTTACACAGAACTCGGGGTCAGCAGCCCAAGACAGACATGGGCATACTGGAGTAAGTCCAGCAATGGGCCAGGAAAATGACTGTGGGAGCACAGCACCACTCACAGAAAGAGAGGCTGAGAGAAGCAGGATTTCTCCCTGCAAGCGCTCTCCACCCTTGACGGAATCAACAGCTACTCCCAGTTTAATACTGTCAGGAAACCTGCTCAAAACACCCTACAGTTCTACATCCAAGTCATTTATTGAAAGCATTAAAGTGAACTGGCCCTACAACAGTGCCCTGGGGTACCCCACTAGTGCCTGGCCAGCAGTTTGATGTAACCCCATTTATTATAACCCTTTGACACTATCTGTCAGCCAGTTGCTCACGTTACGTTTTTATCTAGCTGCACAGGGGGCATTGGGTCCAGAAGGACAGTATGAGAAACAGTATAAAAGCTTTACTGAAATCTAAAAAGATAACATCAGCTGGCCCCTCCTGGCCAACTAAATGGGTGACTTTGTCATAAAAGGAAATTAAGTTAGTTAAGCAGGACCTTTCATTCATGAACCCGTGGTGGCTGAGACCAAGAACCATACTGCCCTTCGGGTGCCTTTCAGGAACACTGCGCAAGAAGCGCTGTGGCAAGAGTTCTATTTTTAATCGCAGTACCTAACACAGTTGACAAGTTTATAATTAAGGTTTTAAATTACAAGCATTATAGCAGCTATGCTGAGAAAATTCAAGTTAAAATAAAAAACTCAGTATTAAGATTCAGCACTCAATCCAATCACAAAGGTTTTAAATATCGCTACGAAAAACACTATGCAGTTTAACCTACCTTTCTGCAGTAACTTGATTTCTCCATTTTCTTTCTTTATTTCATTCATTATTTTGTGCTTCTTCTTCTCTTTTTGTTTCTTTTCCCTTTCTTTCATCTTCTCTTTGATTTGAGCTGAAATGCAAATATTTTATGATTAAGTGGGAACAGAAAGCTTTGTCACGTGCACATTTTGCATTAGTATTATGCAAGTCCTATTAAGAGGATAAAAGGTTACATGGAAAACCCAGGACTTACAATATGGAAAGCTAATATTTATCTGTTGCATAATTCAACATAAGCTTATAGAACCTAGACCAGTTTTATTCGTATTACACCAGAACTGTATCCAACAACTCAGCCTGTTAGCTCTACACAGTTAACAACCATTTTTATTTACTCATACAAACCTCTGTCCTTATTTTTCATCCGGATGCAGCTCTTATTTCTAGAAACTCAAGTTCCACACATTCAATTAGGAACAGGAGAACTGAGGGGTTTCTATTTTCCTGACTGTGCATCTGCACTAGAAATCTCACCTGACTTAAGGCTTCCACAGATGGCTCGAAACATGAAAGGTTTTCAACTGAGAAAACAAATCTTTGTCAGGTTCACCAGCCACACCCATACTGTGCTAACAGCTGTAAGGTGTGACTAAGAGAATCAATGTGAGATGGAAAGGAATGCCAGTTTACTATTTGTTGGAAAAATCTGTATTTTCATAGAAGATCTAATTCAAGCAGTTACTTTTACTTTATTGCCATTTACTTTATTGCCAGTCACTCCACATTGTCATGTCTTTGTCATTAAATTTCTAGGACTTATCTTTTCAAGCAGACTTTAGAATCACCTTGGAGATGAAGCATTTAAGACTCACAACCAACACTGCAGGTCTCATTTCTCAGGCCTCCTCTATGGATTTACTGGGCTTTTTAACCTCCTCAGGGAAAAAGAACACCCCACTTTTTTCAGGCTTCTACACGATGCCGTGTCTCAGAACACTTTGTCAGTAACACAGCTGAGAGGAAACACTGATGTGCCACTTATGGTGCTTGCATTCTTAACCCCACATGGACATAAGGAGAAACCTATTTACTTTACACCACGCATTCATAGAAAATAAACACAGGTATCTTCAATACTAACAAACTGGAAATATTTATCGAAACCAAACAAAAGCCTTCAGTTCTGTAATGCAATATATGACCAAACTATTTCTGAAGCATGTCAATAGTTAAAAATTGCAAGGGTCTGACAGTCATCTACATAAACAAATGCTGTAACAACTGTGCAGCATTCCTACCTTTCATTCTAAGGTTTTCTAACAAAGCCATGGAACTCACGTGCCCAGCAGCCAGGAAGAATGCATTTTGGGTAAAGTCAAAACAAAAGAAAATAAAAAAATGAGAGATGGCAAGTGGCCCATGTCTGCTGCCTATGCACAGATCAGCGCAAGCAGTGGAGAGAGAGAAAAACCTCTGATGGCACCAAAAAGAAAAAACAAAAAAACAAGGAATAAGGTAGCCGTGCTTCAAACTGTCAGAAGTCTTAGTTCCAAACAAATGAAACAACCATGCCTCCAATGATTCTGTGACAGAGGATTCCAGATCAGACAGATCTGTGCAGCAGACCACAGCACCCAGACGTTTTTCTCAGCAGCACAAATCTGTATTTCCTAACAGCAGATGAACCAGATGTTAATCTTCCTCTCCAATCGGCTCCCCTCACACAGACAAACCCCCAAATTGTAGATCCCAGCAACACAGAAGTATGAAGTAAGCAATAAATTATACAACAGATTTGACCACTCCGAAAGCAGACTGTATGGGAACTGCTGAGTCATGGCCTGAACCTCTGACTGATCACCTGAGGCGAGCAGTGAGTCAGCCAGAGGAGCACAGCTGAAGGCAATTCACCTAGACCTGTTTAAGAGCTGCTACCAGTGGGGAAGGATCTCTTCTGGAGTTTTGTAAGTAAGCCCAGGATAGAGGTAAGCTTTCTATCTGTTCTCTTTTTGTTATCATTATCTGCTTTGTTAAACTCTCTTGTTTATTTTGTAATTATAACATCTTAATATTCATTGATTATACACAGACATTCACTCTGCAAGGAGGCAGTAACAGCAGGCTTGATTTGAAGAGTGCATCAGTGCTCAGCTCTGGCAGGATTACCATTATCATGGAAAAAAATTGAGATTTTCTCCCAGCATTTGCATACTGTTAAGAGGTACACTTGACTTCTATCACTTAGAAATCAAAGAGAGATTGAAGAGCACATACAAATGCTGAGCCTGGTTGAAAGAGGATGAAAGACAGACTGAAAGAATCCTTTATTGTAGGCATGAGACAAGCATCCCAGGCTGAGGAATCCTGCAGTTCTGATAGAAGCAGTGTGTAAGAACAGAGAATGAACCAGAAGTCTATAAGAACCTCCACTTTATTTTCAGATCTAGAAAGCTATTAGCAGGGATGATGGCAGCAAAAAAGCCAAAAGAAACAATGGAAGTGTCCTGTGACCTCCTCCAGCAACAGCCACAAGCACACAATACCTGAAGGGACTGTAGATGCATCCAAGGAAGGTTTGGAACAACTAATTCCACTGCAGAATGACAGGACCAAGCTACCACAGGACCAGGGCACAGACTGAAGAGAGTAAAAACAATTGGGAGTCCCAGCCGACAAGTATAAATTGTCAGGTTGCCTCCCTCTGAGCTGAATTTTCAGGTCAAACATCTTCAGAGGAAAATAAATGTTTTCTAGTCTGGCCGGCAGAACTCACACAGAGCTCTCAAGTTCTGCAGTGACAGATGGCCCATTTCACAGCTTCCAATGGGACACAGAGATAAAACGCAATCAAATTCCCATAAGATTCAGTTTACCACAAAGGAAACTGCAGTCAGTAACTTGTAAAGCACCCAACAGAGCGTACAGTCCATACACATGGTTAAGATACACACCTGGCATCTAACCAGGACAGACAAGCTCAGCTCTCCAAACAGTCTCCACACAAACTCCTGCCAACATACGGTGCTGCCCAGAACATCTGCTACAGTTCAGTGCAGGCTGGAGCTTCCTACGAGTTTCCAAAAAGCCCCAGAACAACATCCCTCTGAGCGGCTTCTCCACTAGAAAGGATCAATCCCCTGCAGCTGTACACCACGTAATCCAAATCTCACTTCCTCAACCAAGAAACAAGAAACCTCTTCACAACACGAAAAGCCCATTTTAAGACAAATGCACCCACTATAAGGCAATTAACAACCTACGTGTTGTACAATTAACGACTAATAGGACAAAACTTATCTCACTGAGCAAGTTAACGGCGCTTGGAACTTCTCATATAGCTTCTAGATCTCTGAACAGCTGCTACTGATACCAAACCTTGCTTGGTCCCTGCTTCATGTGTAGAGCAGCTCCACCTCCCAACCGCAAAAAGGTAGAGGTGACTGGAGTAACCCTGCTGTGTCCATAAGATACTTTGCAGTGATCTTCCACCAATACCACTTCTAATACAGATGTAAGGGGAAGAAAGAAAAGGCTGGAGCTGCAGCAGTTAACAGGATAAGACAGTCCTCCAGGTGAGAATGTAATACAAACAGCAGCAACTTGGGACAAGAGAACATCAAGTACCAACAGCTACTACCTTGGTATGTCACAGCACTGCCAGGAGAACGGTTTGCCTTCACTATGATGGAGTACTGAACACTCAGAAAAGCAATCAATGAATTAAGAACTTTCATATACTAATGAGGAGATCAATCATCTGAGTCCCAAGGAAGGTGACGGGATCATTCGACTCACAGAGAGAAGTCCAGTTTTAACAGAAAGGTCTTGCACTACAAGAGAAAAAAACAGCAGGCACAGAGGTACCAGTGACTGGAAGCTGGATTCAACACTCCTACTCCAAAAACCATCCCACTGCATTCACTTTTTTCGGTTAAGATAACAAAATTAAATCGAAGAAAGTACACAAAGGCACAAGTTAGTCACCAGAACAAGTCACCAAACAGCTGTGGAACTATCTGCCATAGGGTTGCTGTTTTGGGGGAGGAAGGGGGGGGGGGGGAGTTCTTTCCTAAAAGCTGATTAAAAAGTATTTTAAAAAACTAATGAACAAAAAGATGCTCAAGTCTAAACAAAAGATGAAACTAAGTCCTTTGATACAGTATAGGTTCACAGAAAGGTTTATGACCCCCTTGCCAAAACATCATCAAAACTGTAGATTACCTTTAAGTGAAGCCACCTGAGCATATCTACATATTAATCACTGCTTTCCCATTCCAGCAGGCATTTTCACAATACAAAGCTCAGTTTTATTTAAGCTGATTTATGTGCTCTTTCTCTCTTTTAACAAAGTTGCTGTGGTAAGGGATAACCAAAAGATTATTCAAGTACTGAATATGAGTATTTTTTTTTTAATTTTTTGTTGTTGTTGTTGTTGTTGTTGTTGTTCCATGGATCAAAATAATCTTAAAATTTTTTTAAATGTCCTCCCAAGTCTGCTCTGTCTGCCCAGAAAATGGAAAATATACCAATCTTAAATGTTACCATTGCAGGGCTTTGAGGGGAAGACGACAATCACGATGCCATCTATCACCTTGGAAGTGACAGGAAAAAGATAAACCATATATGATTCCAATTTAAAAAAGAAAAAGCAATGAAATGAGCCTCTGGGAAAATACCAATCCTTCTGCTGGACATCTGAGCTAACACCTCCAGCTTTATCAGCGCATCACTCATAGCACAGTCCTTGACCTTAACATCAACCAGAAACCCACACAATGCACACGGTGAGAACCCAGCTGGATGATCAGTGCCTCATGCTGCTCACCACTGGGTCCTGACACAGGGACAGCGATTTCCCATCAGCCCAATGCCTACTTCTGCTACAATAACCTTCTTGTGACATACGGCACTCAAGGAAGCCAGCAGTCCACAAAAGCCTGACTTACGGCTCACTGCCGCTTCAGGGACTGCCTCCAAGGAGCAGGTGATCCTGCTCACATTATGCCATAGCAGCAACTTTTGCCACTTCTAACAACCACAGAACGGTTGTGGTATAGAAACAGCACATCCATGACCTCCAGTTTTGGGCCCCTCACCGCAAGAAAGATATTGAGGCCCTGGAACGTGTTC